AGTATGCCCACCTCCTCCCCGGGGGACACGCCTAAGTATGCCCACCTCCTCCCCGGGGGACACACCTGAGGGTGCCCACCTCCTCCCCGGGGGACACACCTGAGCGTACCCACCTCCTCCCCGGGGGACACACCTGAGTGTGTCCACCTCCTCCCTGAGGGACATATCTGAGCATGCCCACCTCCTCCCTGGGAGACATACCTGAGCGTGTCCACCTCCTCCCTGGAGAACAGGAAGCTTTGCTCAGGAGAGCTGGACTGAGACTTTAGCATCTTCAGCTCCATCTCCAGCTAGAAGAAAGCAAAGGACAGAGGGTCAGCACACGCAGGCGGCCCCAGGCATGTGGGGAAGGCCAACCCCTTGCTGCACCCAGCCCAGGCCCTGAGACTGCCCCCTGGTAGCACCCAGTCCAGGCCCTGAGACCACACCCTGGTAGCATCCCTGCCCTGGGCTGGGAGCTGCAGGAGAGACGCACTCTAACTTTGCAAACTCAAGTTCTCTCACTTTTTTGGTGCTTTTGTCTCCCACTCCAAAGCCTGGCTCGCCCCATTATGAAGGGAGGAAGAAGGGCAGTATGGACCCAGGGAGGGGAGGACAGGTGCCAGCAGCGACCAGAGCAGCCAGAGGCCCCCATCGGTGAGGCTGCAAAGCCTGCCAGACCCCAGCGTAGGATGACTCAAGGGGGGACAACACCCACTGGGCTGGGGGATAACAGGGGCTGGGAAAACGGGTACTGGAGGGAAGGGTGCACAGTGTGCAAGGGGGAGGGATATGCCAATTACCCTGATCTAATCCATATATTACATGTACTAAATCATCACTATGTACTCCATAAATATGTATGATTATCATGCGTCCATTAACAAGATAGATCCACAGTCCAGACAACAAACATGGAAGGCCATGCCCTGAGCAGCCTCTCCCCAACTTCCAACCCCAGCCACCCACCCACCCCCAACCCCCAGCCAACCAGCATTCTGATGTTTGAGCATATGTTTCTTCCGCAGGCTGCTGGTGCACATGCGCACATGCCAGCAGCATGTCTGTGTTTTTCCTCCTACCCCACTTTATCTTTTTTTTTTTTTTTTTTTAACAAAAATGGTAAGATGTCCTACACATCATTTGGTACCTTGCTTTTTCCACTACACACAGATACACACACACACACACACACACACACAGAGAGAGAGAGAGAGAGAGAGAGAGAGAGAGAGTGTGTGTGTGTGTGTGTGTGTGTGTGTGTGAGTGAGTCAGTCTTGCTCTATTGCCCAGGCTGGAGTGCAGTGGTGTCATCTCGGCTCACTGCAGCTCCTGGGTTGAAGTGGTTCTCATGCCTCAGCCTCGCTAGTAGCTGGGATTACAGGCACCCACCACCACATCTAGTTAATTTTTATATTTTTGGTAGAGACAGTGTTTCACCATGTTGGCCAGGCTAGTCTCAAACTCCTGACCTCAGGTGATCTGCCTGCCTTGGCCTACCAAAGTGCTAGAATTAACAGGCGTGAGCCACGGCGCCTGGCCTTTTCTTCTATTTTCTAACTTATCTTTGTATACATGATTTTACATTTTTGTTTCCCGCCCCATTCCCTAAATTCCAATTGACTGCAGCAGTTTTCAGTTGATTCTTTTGGCACACAGTCATATCAGCAGCAAAGAGCGACAATTTTCCAATTTTCCTCCTCTTTCCCAATATTTATATCTCTGGTTTCTTTCCCTTGTCTAATCTGGATGCTAGTATCTCTAGAATAATCTTAAATCACAGCTGTAATGCTGGACATCCTTAAGTGGTCTGTGGCTTCACTGAAGCTGAAGCTAATACTTTCTTATTTACAGTACATCACCTTTTGCTTGAAACAGGTATTTTCTATTATGCTGAGAAATTACCCATATGTTCATACTTTATTAAGAGTTTTTAATCAAACCTGAATGTTGGATTTTGTCACATGCCTTTTCAGCAAATATGAAAAGGCAATTCTATAAATTAATATCCTAAAATCAAGCTAACAGGCTGGTCCTGCAATAAATCCTACTACATATGGTGTGTTTTAACATGTTGCTGAATTTCTCCCGACACGTTAACACTGACGCCAATATACGTATGTGTGCGCACATGCATGCACACACACACGCACACACACACACACACAGGCACTGGCATGTGAGACCTTTGCAGTTGTTGGTGTCAACACGATACTCACTTCCAGAATGCCTTCCCTCCTTTTCCGACAGTCTGAAACGGTTTACACACAGTGTTGAAAGTATCTGCACTTTGAAGATCTGGTAGAATTTCCCATGACACTGGCTTGGCCTGATGCATTTTCTGTCTCTTTCCTTTTGCGGTCGGGGAGAGCAGCCCTGGCAACTTCGGGACAACTTTTTTGAAATGTCTCTCTTTTGGAGTCGGGGTTGATAAATAACATTTCCCTAAAAAGTTATTCATTTCTAAAGATTTTTAAATTTGCAAATGGAATTGAGATATAATTAAATAACACTTCCCTAAAAAGTTATTCATTCCCTACAGATTTTTAAATTTGCAAATGGAATTGAGATATTAATTTATTAATATAATAATTTTTATAGAATTCAGATAGAACTCATAGTTCTTTTCAATTTTTTAATTTTTGCTTTTATTTTACCATTCAGATACATAAAATTTATAGGCAGTAAAGTGCTGAATCTTATGTGCACAGCTTGATGACTTTTTATACATGTCTACACCTATGTATCCACCGTCCAGATCAAGACACAGCATTCTCAGCACGCCCAAAAGTTCTCTCATGCTCCCGCTCAATCAGTAACTCCAGGCAATTAGTCTTGTTTCTTATTTGGGATGGTGATACTGCCTATCAATTTTTCATTAGAACTGTGAATAATTCATATGTTTTATTAGCTTTATTTCAAATAACAGGTATTTGAATTCATTTATTATATCTACCATTTTTCACTTTCCTATTAACTTCTGCTTTAATCTTTAAAAATTCCTACCTTTTAGTTTTACTACAGTTTATTTTCCCTTTCATTCTCTGACTTCTGGGGGTGAAGGTCTAGTCCGTATATTTATATGCTTTCTTGCTCAATGATACAAATATTTAAACTTGTGAATTTAGATGTTTCCCACAGGCTCTGATGAGAAATGTTTTCATGACAATTATTTTTCAGATTTTATGCACTTTTGAATCGTAGTTCTTTTAACCAATAATTGTTTAAGACAGTGTTTTGTTCTATTTGGGTTTTGTTTTTTAATTTCCAAGTGTTAGGAGGTTTTTTTTTCTGGTTTTGTTCTTGATTTCACATTTTACCACACTGCAATCACAGGAGGTTGTATTAGTTCTACTTATTTTAATTTATAAAGGCTTTCTCTATTACCGATATATAATCTTTGTGAATGTTATGTTCTATGCTTCTCTTTAACATGAGTATATCTCTAATTTGGGAGATAGGAGTTTTAGATATACATGTATTTTTCTGTTTTTCCATTATTCTTTGCCCACTTGATATACTGCAGATTAGGATATAAAATAAATTCTGCTACTGGCGTCTTTGACAATATCCCCTTGAATCTCTCCTCATCTTTGCTTTTCCCAACAGCAGTGACGTGTTATTTGGCTAATCCATCCACACCTCACTCTGAAGAGTGCCCACCTTTATTTCTGAGAGGCTTCTGGCCTGAACTCACGCTACATCGAGAGCATAGCTCCTGCTTTCCAGGTTCACCTCACCAGAATGCCTTTGCTTCCCGTATTTTCCAACATGTTTGGTTTTGCTTTGCAATCCAATCAGGAAGTCCTTTCCTTTTCAAAGGAGAGTTTAGTTCATCTATATAACTTGATTTCTAGTTCTGTTGTATTATGTTGTTATGCTTTCAATTTTATAGCTTTTACATCTATGTCATTCTGTGGCCTTTTTAATCTAGTTTACTTTTTTACATGTAATTCTCTCAAGGTTTAGAAGTGTGCATGTTTTATTCTGACTGCTTTTATTATTCACACCTATACTTTGCTCTTAGACAGTACGTCTTGTATCTCCTATGTTGAGTGCCTGACTAGTCAGATATATCACCCTTACTGTTTCACTTTATACGGTCTGTGACGGTTCATTTCACGTGTCCACTGGACGGGACCTGGGGCACTCAGGTCAAAACATTTTCTGGGTGTGTATGGGAGGGTTTCTGGATGAGATCAGCATTGGAATCGGGGACTCAACAGACTGCCCTCCACAGCATGGGCAGGCCTCCTCCAACCCCTTGAGGGCCCAAAGGAATGAAAACTGGAGGGGGCAAGCGTTCCTCCCTTGACTGCCTGGTGGCCTGAGCCAGGGCAGCTTCTGTTCTCTGCCTCAGGCTGCGCTGGTTCTTAGGCCTGCAGAGCTGGACTGAGTCATACATGGACTCTTCCAGGCCTCCCCTGTGCAGATGCAGACCATGGGCTTCCCAGCCTCCATTACCACAAGCCAGGTCCTCACATCAATCTCTCTGGATGGACCAGTCTACTGCCTCTGGTTCTCTAGAGAACCTAATATGCAGCTCCATCTACTCTCCCTACCTGATGCTGTCTTTAGATGGTATGTCTTCATCTTTGGCTCTCAATGGTGAGGATGCCATCCTCATGTTGTCTCCTCCCTCTGTCATCTTGACATTTCTTTTTGAATCTCTGACATGTGGCAGTTACATTTCCCACTTCCGCCTTCACTTCATCTTCCAGTTCAGGAGATGGAACTCTTGCTGCTGGGGTTCTTTTCCATAGTTTTTCCCCTGATTCACCTCCCTGTGCTTCTTCCGGTCACCTTCCTTCCCATGCTGCCCCCGTCCTGCCCTTTGAGCTTCCAGGTCCCGTCTCATGCACCCTCCGGCCTCACCATGTGCGTTCCACCGAAGCCTCGCAGACTCTACTGCCTCATTAACTTTTATTTCTTGACAAAATGTCTGGATACAGTTTTCATCTGCTCAGTGTCAACCGTTTTGCTGTGAAAGATTTTCTGCCGCTTGTTTTTCTTCTTTTTCTCCTTTGCTCTTACACAAATGCGTGGAGTGACCTTTACTGCTAACTGCTGAAGATGAGTTTTATTGAATCTGGCTCTGTGCACAGGTTCACAGTGGGGAAGGAAGGGCCTGCTTCCTTTTATCTGAAATCCAGTGACAGTTTTGCTGCGAGTCCAATCAGCCTCCAGTAGCTCTCTCCGGCAGGAGAGAAGGGACACTGAGAGTTTTCCTAAGAGCAAATGTTCTCCTCTCCTCTCTGCCAGAGATGTGGCTTCAAGCACATGTCATGTACTTGTGTGACCCTTCAGCTCA